AAAATATATTCCTATTCTGCAAACAGTAAACATTATAATCAAATTGAATAAATGAAAACGCTCGTTACTGTTTCAAATACATGGAAATCTAGCAACTCCACGACCTTCAGTTTCATGTTATTTTTCTATCTGTAGGAACACAGGATGCACATTAACATTTTTATTATATCTGCTAAAAGAAATGCACTTTGTCGAAACATTTGCAGTTTTCCCATTAATGTCAAGCAGCTCTTGCAGAATTCACAGTCATCAGTGAAAAATGCTGCTAGGCAATCATTCCATAGCAGTTAGCAGCTTTTACCAGGCAAGTAAAAATATTCACTAATTTTTACTCTGTAAAGGTTAGTTCACCAAAATTGTCATTAGAAATAATGTACTTCAGAAGTGTTCTGATCGTTTACTAGTATCCATCATTGAAATTGGCTTTTTAACAGTGCTAACAAATACCCACAACTTCTCTGAATAAATTAAAATAATACAACTAAGTACCTTTGCTTAATGTGTAAAACTCTTATTTTGGATCCAGATTCCATCCAGCTAAATATGTCAGCCTGCATTTGATACAATAATACATTGCTCTCTGGTCAAATTTTTGTAAGAACCATAATTTGGTAGCTATCGTGATTACGTATCCTAAGAATTAAAACTATGGGGCCAATTTTCATGTATACTATATTCCAGAGATGAGTACACATTATGTATGATGGACTTCAAAAATGTGGAATATATTTATTCTGGGTTCCTGTCTGTTTGTTTGTTACACATTTTAATAGAGAAGAACCATATTAGGTATAAAAATCAGGCAAGGGGACTGTGATATACTTGAACAAATTACAATCGAAAGGGATGAAGTATTAGCAGATCTAGTGGGCTTAAAATTGGATAAGTTCCCAGGACCAGATGAGTTGTCTTCCACTGCTGCCTGGGATACATAAGAGGAGATTGCAGAGGCCTTAACATTTAACTTCCAAATCTGCTCTGGACACAGGAGAAGTGCTACAGGACTGGAGGACATTATTCAAGAAGGTGGAGGAGATAACGCATGGAAGCCAAAGAGTGCAACAATGGTGGTAGGGAATCTACTGGAAAAAAAGTCTGAAATTCAGAATTAATCTACACTTACAATGTGCTTGGATTAATCAAGGATAGTCAGCATTGCTTTGTCAGAGGGAGATTATGCCTGACAGGTTTAATTGAGATTTCTTTTGGAAAGGTGACTAAATGAATAGATGAGAGTAGTTCAGTGGATGTAGTCTAAATTAACTTCACTAAGGCTTTTGATAGGTTTCACATGGCAGACTGGTCAAGTTGATAAGAGCCCTTGAGACCCAGAGCAAACTGGAAACAAAACTGGCAGGAGGCAGTGGGTGATGGTCAAAGCTTTTTTTTGTGACTGAAAGCATCAACTGGTATACCACAGGGTCCCTTTGCTGTTTATAGTTACATGAATATCTAGATATGAGTGTGAAAGATTTAATCAGTAACTTTACAGGTGATACAAATGGATTCTATAGATGGGCCTGATCAGGTGAACTGAACAATGACAATTGGAATTTGATCCAGCAAAATGTGAGGCAGTTTGGGAGGACTAACGAGGCAAGGGAATATGTGGTATGGTGGTATCCCTTAGGAAGCGCATAGGATCAGAGGGGCATCAGTGTGCATGTCTACAATCCTTGAAGGTAACAGGACAAGTTGATTGTTACGAAGGCATGTGGAATACTTGAAACAAAAGCAGAAAGAGCTGGAGAAACTCAGCAGATCTGGCAACATCTGCAGAAAGAGAAACAGAGTTAATTTTTCAAATGCAGTGATCCTTCTCCAGAACTGAAAATAGCAGGGAAAGGGTGGTATTTGTGTTGACAATCCAGTCGGTGGGGGAGGTGTGTGTGTGTGTGTGTGTGTGTGTGTGTGTGTGTGTGTGTGTGTGTGTGTGTGTGTGTGTGTGTGTGTGTGTGTG